GTTCTTAGCTTTCATGTAATCCATTTGCAGATCAGATTATAGGATATTATTCATTTAATAAGTGCACTAAATACACATCCAGTGCCATTGGGTTTTGATGGTACTAGGAAAAAAAACGTAGCTACTGCCTTTAAGTAGCTGTCTGACAGTAATATGAACTACTGAATTGAGACGAGATCCACACACATAATGGAATTATACAAAAATTCCCTATGAAAAACTTTCAATAAAGGCCAGAGGGGTATGGAGGCAGGGTTTAAATGAGCAATAAAGGTACAATTTAAAATTTTCTCATGTTTAAGAATAATGATAGGAAATTTAAAGGTAAATCCACTCTAACAAAGCAAGGATTCTCACTTCCAAAGGAAATAAATAGGCTTTATTTGTTGTCGAGATCTGTTCACAAGTCCTTAATAATGTTTATTTGTAATGTATATAGCAGCTTTGTTGTTGATCTTTTTTGTTGGACAAGCTGAATTTGTGAATATTTTACATTGTAAACTGTATTGAAATACATTGATATGTCTATATATAGGGAACATAATCTTTAATTTAAACTCCAGATGATCATTTATAGTCATTTCATGTGTTAAACTGTTTGTTTTTCCTTTCTTCCTCAGTAACACCTGTAAGGCCTTTTGATGTGTCATAAAGAAAAAGCCATTGTGAGCTGTTTGACTCTAGCAAATGAAAGCTAGTTGAGCTGAGGGTGTTTGTGATTTCCCACTGCCAAGTCTTTGCTCAAACTGCTCTCTGCCTTTGCTACCTAAGGTTAGTCTTGATCCTCTCCTCTAAGCTCCTCTCCTCTAAGCTCTCTACAGTACCACAAGCCCACTTTGATAGCTTCTACTGTCTACCATCTTCATCCTGAATTAGGAAGAGTAGGAAGTTGTCAGAAAAACCAGGCTTAAAACTCAAGTCATCTGATACCTGTTTAGTTCCTCATAGCCAAATTATTAAAATCCTTTAGATTCTTGTCCTTGTTCATTTTCAGAGCCAAGGTAGAACTATCATACTCCATTGTGCATATCATTGTCCAATCTTTCTGAAGTACTAATTAGGTTTTTGAGTAGAGAAAGTGATATGATCATCGTTTTCAGGATGCGGGATATGTTCTATGCAGTGTGTGTATTATCCTGAAATGTCTGTAGTACTCCAAGATTCTGCTTTCTGCTTGCACTATTTCCTTTGACCTGAAATGCAGTTTCTCTCTGCCTATAAAATATTAGTTATTAAAAGGTCTAGCAAAGATCTTTTTTCTTCTGTAAAGTCTTGCCTATCAACCCTAACTAAAATCCCTTCTCTGAGGACTTCTGTGATACTTGGAAGATGGTGAGAGGTTATTTTCTTAGTGAGATTCCCATAGTTTCATATTTTGTTTCTCCTTAGCAGAGCATAATAATTTGATAATTGCTTTACTCACATGAATTTTTTATAAAATTGCTTACTACTCTCCACCCAAAGAAGAAATGAAGTATGTAAGCTTCTTAAACTGTTTGTTGAACCCAGGACCCCTTACTTAATTCGGAGTTCTTGTCTGCTCTTGAGTGCATAGTTGGGTCATTAGAAAATAATGTTAGCTTTTGGGGTGGGTCGAATCTATTATTGGACCTTTAAAATAGTAACTTTTTCTGTTTTAAGATATTTTGCTTTTTGTTACTATGTAAGGTTGTATTGGTACAAGCATATTTATTTCCTTTATTTTTAATATAGTATTTAAAACTTGGTGTGATATTGAATTAGAATCTCTGAGAATGTGGCCTAGGACTCTGCATTTTTACTAAGCCTCAATTCAGTGCTTACAAAAGCAGTGGTGGTGGTAATAATGGTGGTGATTACAATGATTATAGTAATTGCGATTGTACTTTTGAAGGCTTATATGTGCCTAGGGCACTTTTCTAGGCAGTTTACAACTATTATCTGATGTTCACAGCAAGCCTGTGTCGTAAGATGTAATTGTTATCTCCGTTTTTTCAGATGGAGAAACTGAGGCAGAGATAAATTAAATAACTTGTCCCCAAAATAACTTCCTTATAAACATGGTAAAAATTCATGAAAGGAGTAAGGCATATTTCTTTGGTCGATTTAAAAAAACACACTTTCTAAAGAATTGCTGTGAATAATTGCTGTGAATGATATAAGCTGCTTTTTATACATATTGGCATAGCAATATGCTAATTCTATACAGACTGGCTCAACAACTAGACCTAAATATATATGCCATACATTTAGGAAGCCAGTCACAATTCTAGGTTAAAAAATAGACACACAAACATACATACAAACTTAGCATACAGAAGAAAACATTAAATTATTACACTTTCTAATAAAATCATAGGTTTTAAGAAGACTTTCCTTTACTATATACACATACATACATATTTGTACACGTACATATGTTTACATGTATTTATACATATACGTTATATTGAGATAATACTTTGTGACAAAATGAAGTATAAGTAAAACTCCTTGAGCATATATATTTTTTGCTTTAATAGCATAAGGTAAATCTTGATCTTATGTGATGAATATTTTATTATATTTTTAATATTGTATGAATATTTTATGCCTTTTGGCTCGTAGACTGGACAGTGGGATGGAGGGGAACGTATGATTGTGGTCGCAGTAGGGTGGAACTAATTTGTTTAACATCATTGTCTATGCAAAAAGAGTTTTGGTGAATGATTTTAGGTGTTGCTAATGAGTATTCTGACTTTTAAGACCAATAGAACTAAAAAGTATGTCTTATTTTACTAGAAACATAAGTCATGACTGAATAGGTGATGAAATCTAAATTGAGTTAGTGGCCAGCATTTATCCTTAAAACTAAATCTAAGCAGTGTTTCAACTATTTATTTTTATATTTCTTATTTACAAATTTTCTGAGTTTCTCTTGCTGCCCATTTATATATAGGTGGGATGAGTTATATCACCTCAAGCAGTACAAGATAAGACTTTTTATTTCTAATGCTATCCATGTGTCATGCATAAATTGCTAGACTGAATAAATTGGATAAAATAGGATGCTAGAAAATGAAAGAAAAAATAGATGTGGTGCCATGAAAATTCTAAGAAATTTTATTTTTTAGAAAGTTTTGATAAAATTTTATATAATCTTCAGGCTCATGTTCTTAGTCTGTAAGATTTGGGTGTAAAACTGAAGGCCTGCCTTAATGCTTATAAAGAGAGAGAGGTATCAGGAATGAATTAATCATATACCTTTCTTCCCCTAACTTTATGAATTGGTTCCGTGCATT